ATTGTATAAAACACTGAAAAAACGCACATGGTCAGTGCACGACAACGAACATTTTTTTGAAAATTCACGTGCAATACCACATTCAATCTTCAATATTAATACACTTCTCATACTAATCGATAAATATTATATAATATCTAGATTTAAAGTTATAGAACTAGAATTTTATATTAAAAAGAAAGATCTAAAAGAATTATCTTATTATATTGTTTAAGATATATATATAAGTTAGTAGACGAAAGAGAGCCGTCTATTCGGTTATATCTATCGTTGTTTCGGTGTTTGACTCGCAAAAGAACAACTAAGATGGATGTGGTCTAGGTCTGCAAGGCTACTAAGCTTGCTGGGACGGGTTGACTCGTAAAGAACAACTAAGATGGATGTGGTCTAGGTCTGCAAGGCTACTAAGCTTGCTGGGAATAGCTCGTATTTAAGCTTGCTTGGTCTACCTAGTAAGTAGTAACTAATAAGCCCCACAGCAAGCTTTAATCCGCATGGTCCCTTGTCCTTGTACAGCATGGCCCCGCCGTCGGAAGTCAGATTGGACGAGGTTGTCTGCATGACCCAAAGGCAATCAAGAATTTTATCTCATATACCGGTAATTTTTGCCTTTTATTCTTCATGCCAGTGACTTCCCTCCCTCCCCTGACTTGAAGTTTCCAGATTTCATCGTATCTATATCTTCAACATTGGAATAGTTGAGAGCTTCAGTGTTTCTCATGTTCTGTATGTCCTGTACTTGAGTTATTATTACAGTACTTCAATCCATCCTTAAAGATGTCCACATCACGTATTGGCGCTTATTTGCCTCGACATATCAAAGGATACTTATGGGTCAGTTTACTGGTAGCAACATTCATTGTTATGGGACTGAGCGAAAATGGTGTTCTGTTCGTGGATAAGTCACAAGACCATTCTATAAATCTAGATCTACCACCCATAAATCCTTCGGCACCCATAAAGAATATCGTCGACGACGATGACGCAAAACTGGCAGTACAAGAACCAAACAGAATCTACAGTACCGCAGGTCTCGATCCGAAGGATGTCATCATTTTGGTCAAGACTGGTGCTACATCAATTTGGAGGAGAATGCCTATGCACATGTCGACCACGTTAGGAAACAAACAACTCACTCCGAACATCGTCTACTACTCAGATATTGCGGATAACATCAATGGAAATCCGGTCATTGACTCCCTCGCAAACGTGTCAGCAACCCTCAAAGCATCACCTGATTTTGTACTCTACAACAAAGCCAAAGAGTCTCTCAGCGATAACTTGTATCAAGAAAGCGCAAGCATGGAGGGCGATTCTTATTTACCGGGTGGATGGAGACTGGACAAATACAAGTTCTTGCCCATGTTTCAACATGCTGCTATACATCACCCTGGCATGAAATGGTATGTGTACATGGAAGATGACAACTACTTCTTCTGGGAGACACTTTACGCATGGCTTGCAACTCTAGATCATACGTCCCCTATTTTGGTCGGATCACCAGCTTTTAAGATGGGCGAGGACTTTGCCCACGGTGGATCCGGATTCGCCATATCAGGGAAAGCTATGGCGACCTCATTTGGTGCAGAGAAAACTCTGGCTGATAAGTATGAATCGTATGCGAAAGAGCATTGCTGTGGAGATCAGGTGCTTTCACATGCTATGAAAGAAATGGGCGTAGAACGATTCAAGGAATTAGACGGAGGTGGATGGGCTGCTTTACAATCACTTCCGACATACAGAATTGGCTTTGGTGACTGGAACTGGTGTTCACCAATCATGAATATCCATAAAGTCCATCAAGCTGATATCTCCAAGTTGTTCGTTTTTGAGAACAAGTTCATGCAAGAAACAAAAGGAAAAGGACGAATTCGCTACCGCGATGTTTTCAAACATTTCTTCGCTCCAACACTAGTTGCTGCGCGCTCGGAATGGGATAATTACGCAGGATCCAAATCATTCTCTTCAACGGAAGACTCCTATACGCCTGAATTCAAAAAGATGACTGCGGCGCAAAGGAACGAGAGACCATGGGCATCAAAGGAAAAATGCAAAAAAGCTTGTGCAGACTGGGATCAATGTTTGACCTGGAAGTATCAAGATGATAATTGCCATCTTGATCATACGGCGGCCATGGGACAGAAGGTTAATGAGGGTGTTTATATGGAGAGTGGTTGGATGGTGGATAGAATTGGGAAGGCTCTCGAAAAGAAGGAATGCGGTGCTTTGGAATTTTAAATTTGCAGGTTAACATTGACCTCAAAGTTTGGCGTTTGGGTTTAGATGCATATATATTTTAGACGAAGGATTTTTTTTAAATATAGTAATGATACATACTCAATTCGATAATGAATGTACAACTCTTAAGTGCCGGGGGTATATTTTTTTGATTAGAACGAGGGAGTACGAGTACGTAAAAAGAGAAGCCACTTCGTCATGAAGAATATAGGCAAATTTGATGTCATATCATAAATTGTATAACAAGTATCGTAAATGTTCCTCTTGAGATCTAATTCTATGTTTGAGCCCTTTCCTTCCACATCCAATTTACCTATTCCATTCATACATCGCAGTCGACAAACTCTAAACTGGAACCGGTACACATTCTCATATTTTCGAATATTCTTACATTGCCGACTTCATTCTTTTTAGTGTACAGGCTCATCCAATACAAGCACCCCTTCAAAGCGACACCACCAACTTCAAGGCAATATCACAACTTCGCATTCATCATTCATCAACGAACCACTGATTCTCTCCATCATCCATCCGCTGTTAACAATACTCTTATCCCACAAAGGCCTTCCCTCAATCTCTCTTCCAAGAATTACCACCGTATCCAAACTACAGCTCTTTTGCTTCTCATTATCAATCTCGTGTCTCCAAATTCGACAAGTAGACAATGCGACGCAGGCCGCGAAACATGCTTCAGGTGAAGTATAAGCCTGCTCCAGAGCGACTGTATCTTGAACAACGGGAGCAGGTGGACCCCAAAGAGGATTGGTGATTGTGGTGATGTTTTCTGTGAGTTTATGGCGAGAGGCAAAGTTATCCCAATCATCGCGGCGGTCTTTGAGGTATGAAGATATTGTTGCGAGGAAAATGTCGCGGAAGATGATTGGTCGCTACCATATTTTGTTAACATTTGCAAAGATTTGATATTTTTTAGGAAGACAACTTACCGAACCCAGGTTACTTTCATTATGCTTACGTTCCAGCATTGCTAACTGCACCAAATCCCGCTGATGCAAATGATGCAAGGTAAAAATTGGTTTACACCATGAAAACTCCTCGAATCCTGTTCTCCAGGGTGGTTCAGGTCTGAAAGATACTGGACCATATTCCCCTCGGTTTACAAGCACATTGTGATCGTGCAAGACTTTCCCCAAAACCATGTCACCGCAACAAGCATTTGCGGTGAAGTTTGCGTACTCTTGCAGAGTTGGTACCTTCGGTCCGCTGAAAACGGACGTCATTAAGGATCTAGAGAAGACGATTCCTGAACCCCCTTGCGCGAATGTCGCGTTATCTTGACCTGAATAAGCACCATAATATGATGGCTCGTCATCAGCTGAGAGTGTGGCTAGCCAACGGAGGAGATTTGTCCAAAAGACGAAAGTGTCATCTTCAATATACACAGTCCACTTGAAGCCAGGATAGTTGTTCTGGGCGTGTTCTAGCATAGGAATAAACTTGTATCTGTCCAGAATCCAACCTGGCTTGTTTCCAGGTGGAAGTTCAGGCTCGTCTCCGGGAAGTTGAGCTTGTTCTCTGTACGCATGAGCGTTGGTCTGCAGATCTTGGTATATGCCGTACGCAGTTGTGTCATGAATGTGCAGAATATCGCTCACATTGCTCAAAATATCCACTGTTTGGATTTCATGAGAAAGGTTCTCTTGAAGATCCGAATATATCACAGTGTTTGACAGAGTCGATAAAGTCGTTAACAGCTGAACAGGCATTCGACGCCATGCTGTGCTTGCACCAGTCTTGACAATCAATAAAATGTCAGATGGCGAGACTGATAGTTCTGAACTGGGAACAACAGAGACATGTTCTGCTTCCAAATCTGGCTTATACGTGGGCGTAGAGCTGGGCTGAATGTGGGGTGTTTTTGATGGGTTCACCGCTTCCTCCACAGGTTTAGTAGGCTTCCGCTTCCCGTCTGCTAGCCATTCAGGTTCAACTCTAACATCTTGTGGTATGATGAACTCGCTCTTGTGAAGCCCCGGAAGAACTTCAAGCCTCAAGTAGCAGTAATAAATTGTCAGAAAAATCAACACGACGAAGATAAATACGAGACCTCGTGGACCTTTGAGAAAAAGCATTGTTCTGTACCCGCAACATCAAGCATGATTCTCATAGGGAATTATACGATGAGAATATGTATTGATCTTGATAATTTGATTATTCAGGAGAAACTTTGGAGGGTTATGCATTCAGTGCTTATACGGGCAATACGGATTTTCAGATGGGGCTTCAGAAATTTCAGAACACGATACAAGGATTCTTACAATAATACGAGCCAAGACGTTGTGAAAAGTCCACATAGAGTATCCCTACCGGTTTATGTCAAACAAAATAGGGGCTTTTTTATTAAGAATTCAACCCAGTTTTTAGCCGGGATCCTGCTGTATTGAGTAACTATACCCGTGCAACGCTTTACTTTATTCATTACTTTATTCAAGCTTCATGCATGAAGATGGATTACATGCAAGGCTACTAAATGTTACCTTGCCGTGAACAAGGAGAGAAAAACTTTATTGAAGAATAAATGACATGGGGGGCTGGCGGAAATTGCCAATCCATTTTGATGCAGCACACTAACTGGCTTGTTGCCCTTCATGCCTACCCATCATTGCCTGCTCCTCACCGGTAGAAGCATTTTTTTTGGATAGTCATGCTAAAATGCTGAGCTCTAAAGTCCCGCGACTTGACCGATTAGACCGACAGGAAGGGACAAGGACAAGCCAAGATGATAACGCTAAGTATAAAGACTTAGTTGCATGGAGATGCAGTAAGAAAGTGTGAGTGATGCTTCTTCTACTCGAGTACTGTTGAAATTTCCTCTTGTAGTACATTCTTTCTTGGCCATTCATTCGTTTGCGGTTCCTATTATCTATCCTCTAAGTAAGGACCAGGAGTCATGCCTATAGTACCTGTGTTGCCGTCTATCCATAGGCAAATCTTTAACAGCATCCTCTGCATCGTCACCTTCTTCATCATCTTCCGCTATTTCAGAAGACTCATCACATTTGCTCCCATTACCTTTGAAAGTATATGGCAAATATCCTTGGCGGAGGTCAATCGCTGGAAAAATGTAAAAAGAGTCGAACAATTAGAACAAAAGCTTTCGCTACAAGATGGAGAGAAGGGGGTTCAGACAAAAGAGGATGTGGCTGCGAGATGTGTGGCTTCGGTAGTGGGATATCGAGAGGAGGCCAATTTGTGGAGGAGATGTTTGCAGAGTTATCATAATTCCCCTGGCTTGGAAATCATGCTTATTGGAATCGATGGGGATCATGATGTGGATATGGAGATGGTTTCTGTGGCTCAACAAGTGTGTATTACCCCCCCCCCCCCCTCTTCCCAAAATACTTCCTAGTAATTGTAAGAGGAACTAATAGATATTCCCTTCAAGGTGTTCCCAGATCTCATAAAAATCCACATCGAAGAACCGTATGGCCCCCTGGCCGTCCGCATCGCCCAAAACTATATTACCCGCGAACTTTACGACGAAAAGTCCTCCTCCTCAAAATGGGCATCTGCATCCACCGATCCTCCAGATATCCCCTCCGCTCTCCTGTCCGAAGCTCACGCATATGCCTTCCGCACGGTGTTTGAAAAAGCGCTCACCACCCTTCGCGAACACAATGCTCTATCTCCGCCTCTCGATTCCAAATCTAAATCTCTTCGCACAATATGTCTGTATCAACCTCACAAATGCAAGAAAGATATCATGTTCACCAATATGGTCTTCGCATTGGCGTTAGGTCAAGCAAATGATATTGAATACTTATGGACCAGCGATTCCGATACCATTGTTTATCCAGATACGTTGTATCAAACTGTGGGATGTATGTCCGCGGATCCTTTGATCGGAGGGAGCTGTTCTGCGCTGAGCATTCATAATGATCATGAGAGTGCTATTGCTGCTTTGGGAAGTGCGGCTTATTGGTCTGAGTGAGTATCTTGTTTACCCATATTTTTCAAAAGAGGCAGAGTTCTAATAGTGGTGGATTTACAGATTAGCTATTACACGTGGACAAACCGGCGCCGTAGATGCAGTAGACTGTCAACCAGGACCCTGTGCCGCTTTCCGTCTTATAGCCCTTGAGCCCATTCTCCTATCTTGGTACACACAAACCTCCTTCGGTGTCAAGACCGTCGTTAACGAAGACCGTCACCTAACCACCAACCTCCTCCTCCAAAACTGGAAAGTAACCTTCAACACCTCCGCTATCGCCTCCACTGATACTCCCACCACGCTTCTCCGCTGGCTCCTCCAACAAATGCGCTGGGCCCGCGCCACCCATATCGAATGTTTCCAATACCCGCAAATATACTCCATCCACGGCGTGATTCTTTTCGTAACCGCTATGCGCCGTTTCTATGGACCCTTAATTATCGGCGTCTTCACTATCCGTTACGTGTTTACCGGATACACCGTCCACGCATTCCAATCTTGGGATTTCCTCCTCCGCGTAGCATTATGCACGTGTTATAATTTCTGGCGCAACAAGACGCATGTGGCCAGTATCAAATATCTAGTTCTCAGTCAGCTATTCTACCAATTACCTTTACCGGGAATAATGTTCTGGTCGGTCATTACATTTTTGGAGGGGGGTTGGGGAACTAGCATGCGGAGCGTGAATGAACAGAAGAAATCGAGATTTGCAGGATGGGATAATTTGTGGAGTACAACTGCAGTGGTCATCTGGATGGGATTTGTAGGGGCGGCGGTGGCTAGATGGGTTACTTCGTATGTTGCGCCGGCGTTTATGATCGAGGCAATGATTTTCGCCGGAGCGACATCGGTGGGGAGTTTGTACTGGACTTTGCTTGGGTAGAGGACTGGAAGCATTCGTATGGGATGGAGAGGTGATAGAATAAAACTCTAAAAGGCTGGGTTGGGTTTGGGTTAGGGTTAGACTATATTAATATCATGAGATACGTTTGTATTCGAGTAGATTTTTTGATAGTGCCAAAGAGAGACGATATGGTCATTAGGAACATCTCTTTTGGAATTTATATAAAATCAAGAGAATCAAAGAACATGAAAAAGCACAGTACTAGATAATGGAATGGTGTGGCATAGGCTACAAATCAAGTGAGAGCACAGCCTTCATATCGTTTCGATGTGTTTTGTATTTGATATAAGAGCGTGTAAAGGTGTTTTATAATCATTTTCCTACCGAGGATTTAGTTGACGAGGTCTCTTCTAGGATCTCGGTAGTATGCTCAGAAAGTTGTCTGTCGAAGAATAACTTACGGGGTAAAATATCACGAATGGAAAACTCGGTAATGCTATTATCTGGATTCGAGTAACAAGTAATGTCATCATATCATATAAAATCCGAGAGTAATGATAATTACATATCTGCAGAAACCTGACAGGGAAGAACCAAACATCTACAATTCCACGACTCCTATTTTTTTTCATATACGCCCCGAGTTACTGCATCACCCATCTCTTACATGTATATCCCACCTCCTCATCATCCTCCCCCTCGCCCTCCTTACTCCTATACGATTTCAACTTCAGAAGGCTCTCCAATCTCCTCCTCTTCATATCAGGCTGCAACCAACCCCCCAACCTCTTCCTCTCGTTCTCAATCTTGGCTATTTCCTCTTGTTCAATCATCTGTCTCCTTCTCCTATCTGCCAACATCCTTGCATCTTCCAGCGACTCTTTGTTGAACTGGCGCAATCGCTCCGCTTTCATTTCCTCCGCCGCCTCCCTCTCCCTCGCAAGTGCTCTCCGTGTTCTATTCCTATCCCTCGTTCTTCTCATGAAAGGAAGTCCGCCCGCATACTTGAACAGGAACCCCTCGTCCTCCGCTTGCTGAATCCGAAACTCTACATCTACCAATTCCAACGGCTGGAATACTCGGTTGACTTTTATCTGCACCCAATCTGGTAGTGCGCGATACATCAATTTCTTCCTCTGTTCGTTCCTGACTTTGACACGGTTCCATGCTTGTAGCGCAGTCGGTCTCTTTTCTCGATCAAGATCCATCACCCATCGGATCTCTCGGTATAAATTCATCGTCAAATGATCATCAATCATCTCAAATCGATTAGGATCACTTCTCGCGGCCGCTACCTCTTTTTTCCGCGCGGCATCCATTCGGCCCCATACATCGCGGATATCACCGCATCCGTTGTTTGGGAACTCACCTGCCTTCGCCATGAAATACATCTGGACGCCCAACGACCAAACATCAAATTTGGCGCTCATTAAATCGTCGGGTGGATCACAGGTACTATTTCCAAAGTAAAAATCCCGGGTGCCGCCAATAGGTAGATGTATGGCCTCGCCAAAATCGGCCAATTTGAGATTAGGATATGTTTTGTCGGGAGAACCTGGAGGAGGCGATTGGAGGAAGATGTTGTTTGGTTTAATATCACGAAGAATGGTGGAGCGATTCCGTCCTCGAAATTCAGGTAGATCCTTATAAGCTGGATGCTCGCCGTGAAGAAATGTAAGACCATCGAGCAATTGCTCGAACGCGTGCCACTGGGATACGGGGTTAGCCATATGATATTCACGCGACTTGATGGGAAGCGGACGGCATGGAACTCACGATAAATCCTTCGGGTATGTAATTCGATGTTCGTTCAGAAGTTTTGACCATTTCAAACAGAGTTCCCATATCGCAAAATTCTAGGATGAACAAAGAGAAGTGGTTTCTCAAAATATTAAGATCCGCCCATCCCTCCAGGTTACATACATTCGGATGTCCCGATTTAATATACTGAAGACTTGTCCTCAGTTCGTTCGCCCGTTTGCTACGTAGACTCAACTTGGTCATTTCTCTCGGGTCGATAATGTGAGCCTCACTGCTCTTTGTAAGAGTAGGACTGTGATCCGAACCCATGTTAACGGGTTCGAGGTTATGATCATCCGTATCCAATCTTAGGTTCGCAACTTTGATAGCATATTCTCGACCTGTTTTTCCACCAATACGGGTATCTAAATTCTCGGCGCGAAAGACTAGTCCAAATGATCCATTGGCAATACACGCGCTGATCTCGATATTCTCGCCCTCCAAGTTGTGGTGGACGGGACGCCATTTATTTTGACGAATTTTGATCGAACGGAATGCGCCTAAAAACAAGCAAATCGGTCAGCATCAATAGTCTCTTCCCTAGAAAATGGACAATTTCAAAATCACATCCCTAGACTGAAATCAAAGAACTTTTGTAAAAGCATAAACCTACGTAAAACCCGAACCGCAATGATTTCTGGTTTGTGCTTTAAGTTTCTCACGAGGTCGAAACCACTTTCATCCTCTGGCTTCTTTTCCACTTCCACTTCGATCACTTCGCCTTCTCCCTCGTCCTTCTCATCTCCATCCGCCTCCGCCTCATCCACAGTCACCACCTCAACCGTGTCCTTCTTTTTAGGAGTTTTAGAGGGCGTTTTAGAAGGCTTTTTAGAAGATGCGGCAGCCATATCTATCTTCAATTACTCAAAACGGAAACTATGTCTTAATATTTAAAAGGTTTTGAATAATATCAATAAGAAACAAAAAATCATTTTTTGGCTGATTTCATTAATTGAAATGTTGATTATACCATAAAATGTACATGAAGAGACTAATGGTAGAAACAAAGCCATCCTTTCAAGGAATCTGTTTCCGGCACTTTGTACTGGAGAATTATTGGAGAAAGAAAGAAAAGCAAAGTAGATTTTAATATACTCATGACAAAGAAAGAAAATAGACACCCATTGCATGTGTTGGCAAGGGAATATCTTATTAGAAAGGAATATTGGGACAAAATGACTGAGTGTAATTAAGAATTAGACCTTACATTGCGATATGGAAAGAAAACAGCTGCCGGAAATAAATATGCACCTACTATGTGTGCAGTATAAGCTCGTTTGAAGGGAAAAGGAGAGAGTGTAACTCAAGTTACTCAACGAAGAAGTTATGAGGGCTAACTGCATCAAGCAAAGAACAAGGTGAAATCGTTCAATCTAAAGATCCAATACAGCATATTGTGCAGACCACCTGGGCCAGGCAAAATAAAATAAATGAAACACAGTCAAACATTCACTTAGACTTTACTCGCCTCATTCTTTCTTACCATTTCCTCCAACCTCTAAATGCACAATTAAAAAACCTATCTCAGACTCAATTCCTCTCCCTCTACCGTAAATATGTTGATTTCCTGTACATACTTCGTTCGCCTCCCCTTTTAGAACTAGCAATTGCCTTCGATAGTCAGCAAAATGCCAAGACCTCCTCTCATGTTCTCCTCCTTCGCTTATCAACCAGCCACTCACTCACTCACTCACTCACTCCACTCTTCCTCTTCCTCTACAACCTACTCTCCCAAAAACTAAAACCCCCAAAAAATAAAAACATACAACAGTAGGGATTCGCTGGTGGTCACCCACCCAACTACTAATCTACCGATCTGAAGCTTGTGTATGGCAGAGCGGACGGGATGCCCAATTCTCTTCAGTCTATGGTCGTATGTGTCAGTTTGAAGTGAAGCTAGGGATATATTTGAGTGAATGAAAGAAACAAAAAAAGAATATAATAGAATGAGATGAGATAGGATGAGATATGAGATATGAGAGGGAGGTAAATTGATGATCAGAGATGATGTGAATGAGCAGTTAGTTGTTACGCCTGGATATTTGATATTTCATATTCACCATTGATTGAGTGGATGTTTTATCATCTACCGTACCCAAATTTCGTGTGAATTTGCATGTATGATAGAAAAGAATGGTAGTACTGTTATTCGTAGGATGCAGGGGTACCGTTTATATAATACCATGGTTGAGCTTCGTCTGGGAGAAGAGAGGACTAATAAACTTGTCTCAGCTAGGATTGACATATAAACATACTTGAGATATTCAATAAAAGCCTGTCCAATCATTTTATTCTGAATACTATACTATGTCCAAAGATACAGCTCCTAGATATTAGAACATACTTTGTTCTGCAACAAAATCTACAAACTCACTTGAGGATATCAGCCTCGTCGTTGACCTAGCTGCACCCTACAATAAATAGCCAGTTCTTCCAATACAAGAAAAGTGTATTGATTGAGTGGTCGCATAAGCGAAATGACCCTCAATCAAATTTATCACCCACAAGGCTGAATGAATTCCAAAATGAATATCATGTATTGACAAAACATAAAGTAGTAAATGATCTCAACGGGTTATCAGTATAGCGGTCAACACAAAACGAAGATAATCGGTACCAAAATACATCCACCAGGAATATTAAGCTCCACGCATCACCAGCCGACGATTTAACCAACTGCAAGTGCTGTGCTCGCAGAGTTCAATACTCTGTCGAACAAAATACCATAGCACAGCGTTTCTTAAATAAAGATAATCCAAAATCACCTCTTTCAATCGGTCGGATTACAACCCTCTTCCACGAACACGCAGACCATTTTGTATCAGCACAACGCGCTGCACTTCTCACAGAATCAAACTCAGCCTGAACATAGAACGCGATTCTCACAAATACAGACCGTTAAATCAGAAAAACAATCTCCGAGCCAAACGTCGCCATGTCTAGCCAATCCACTGTGACGGAGCCCACCGAGCCCACCGTATCTCCACCTGCCGACTCTCCACCTGCTGTTTCTTCATGTACTTTTACCACACCCCCCTCCCTCCTAACCCCATTTTTTCAACTTTCACCCGAGCTCACTATATCCCTTTTTCCGCCAAGCCCTCCAGCAGGCTCCCCTTCGCTACCACCAGACTCGCGTACGTGGGTTCCAGCCAACTTTTCAAGAGATACCAGCTGGACACCTGCTATATGGATTCGGATCATTGGATTTGTGCAGGACATCCATTGTATGATGCTACTAGGTCCGTTTTCTGGCGACAGCAACATTCATGAAAATGTTTTCAATGTCGGATTCTTGAACTTTGCCAGGTCATTTCAACACATATGTCAGATTAGGGGTGCTTTTGTGCCCGGACGACGGCTGGTCGAAGCTGCATGGGTGGCCAGAATGAGCACATACATCATCAAACAGTATTCAGTCTCTGGGATGGAGAGTCTGAATGAATGTTTGTGGCAGGTATGTATAACGAAACATCATACAGTAACAATACCTGCTAACTATAGGTCTTCAAGACCCAGTCCGACGAAGTAGAAAAGTACTGGACAGGAATGAGGATTCGGTACAAGGGCCTCGATGTCCAAGTAAGCTTCGACTGAAACAGCCCCTTAGCAGAGCTAACAACTTTATAGAGCCATTTCAATGGTGCTGTCGGCCCACTTAGCGAACTCTCTCGAATAATCAATGATACATCTTTGCTACAAAGATTGAACATGGATAAACCCCATCCGCCTCAGTTGCTTGTGCGTGCGTCTTATTTGACATTTGCATTGTCGGGCCGGACCTATGAACTGACGTGGGAGTTGAATGCGAGAGACCAAGCCAGGATCTTCAGGCTCTTCAGGCTTCACTTAGCAGTGCAAATGACCAGGGAAAACATTTTCTTTATAGGAACTTGAGTCATAAAGTAGGGCACTCGGAGTGAGAGATCAAAGCGCGGAAAAGGAGGCCTAACACACTTGTGCAGTTGAAGGGAAAAGCAGAATCAGAATAGCGAGAGAGAGAAATTCGTGAGCCAAAAAGTAGTGCAGGCGAGGAAGAACAAAGTGGATTTGTTCACCCAAGTCCTCAAGCAGGGGATAATTAATGGCGAGGAAGGATAGAGCAAATACTGATATTTCTTCTCATTCAAATTCATAGTCGCTTCTCAACTTTTGGTTCCCAATGCTTTCTGGCGATTAGCAACCCGAGTTTAGTTCATCCTATCCCCGTACGCCTGGAATAAAGAAAACCATGAATTGCGTTGTACATTTCCTTGTCGAGACTGCCAAGTTGCCGCCTTCGATCCTGCATCTCTGTTAGTGTTTGTCTTGTAATGAAGCCGATGAATGATGACTTACCCGGAGTAACACCTTTACCAAATCCAAATATTCTCAATATAAGACGAATAGGCCAAGAAAGTCCAAATACCACAGCTAGTGCTGCCCAGACTCCAAAAACGCTGGTATATGGATTCCGACGGATGATAGGCCCCAAGATGCCTAACAACGATTTTGCAGAATGCCTAGGATCTTCAAGAGCATTCAGACCAGCTGCCTTCGCAGTGTTGAGGTGTCTTGGGGCATCCTGATATAGCTGGTCTGCCACAATCTTCGCAGTGTTCAGATGTCGGGGAGCATCCTGATACAACTGCCCTGCCGCTTCCTTGGATCTTTCCATGAGAACTGGTGTTTTCTCCAAAGCAAATTTGAGAGCGGGTTGAACTTTAGCAGCAGCGATCACGGCAGCCTCTTTCCCTCTTTCATATGCCTCTGGTGCATTGTCGAGCACATATTGAGCTGCCTTTTGAGCTTCCGCCACAGCTTGCGCATATAGTGTTGATAGATTATCGGCCATAACTGTTGTCTGTTGTCTGTTGAAGGGGTAGATGAGAGGTTGTGCTAGACTTTCAAGTTATAAAAAGTCAGACCATAAGGCAAACACGACGTTGAAAGGTAAGACTGCATGCTGCAGGGTCCCTTGTCAATCATGCTGTAAGACTTTACGTGGCTTGATTTCATCCACTCAGTTGACAGAGAGTTAACATATCTGATATTCTAGAGGTTGTTCAGTAATAGTAGTGATACTGGCCAGTACCTACTTCTAATAAAGTAAATCAAATCAAATCAAATCAAGTTTGTTTCTACAAAAATACAAAAAAAGGGTTTGTTTGATCCAATGCATGGATCCAATGCACGGACCCGATGCTAAGATTAAGTCAAGATTAGGGGTGGCCACAAGATCCGATAAACCTAACCCCTGGAAACTTGAACTATTTCCCCAATATTTACAGGGTATCAAACTTCTAGTCTTTCTCCACCTCCTCCAATCTCTATCCAATTCACCAATTCAATCAATTGTCTCAAAACATCCCACTTCTTACTTTATTCCATCTCTTTTCATGTACTTGATCTCATAATGCGCTTTTAATAAGTCACAATGGCAAACACTATCCATGAGACACCAGAGTGGGAAACTCCAACACCAAAACAATCTTTCCTCAGCAGACATGATATCTTCTCAAAACCGGAATCAACACTTCCTACCACTAAAGAAGGACCTTCAGACTCATCGGATAATGCTGTCGTAACGGGAACTCTTGGAAAGCCTACTTTGATCGAGCGATTCAATGGTGTTGTTCCTCGAAATCGCACTTACTTTGGACTGAGTCGCAAAGTGTTTTTGCTGATTGTCGGAGGAGCAATCGTTTTATTACTTGCGTTGATCCTTGGTTTGGGAATTGGTCTTGGATTGAAGCACTCATCGTATGTGTATTTAACCGTTTATTTTGTGTTTATCAAGTATGCATAGTTTTGCACTTCTTCGTGTACGAACTCGGCTTGCGCGACAAGTCCATTTTGACCACATTTACGGCTCAATTGATCGGGACTACATACTAATCTACAAATTAAGGTCGAAAGCATTGCCTCTTCCCTCAAATGGTGGAATTTTCACAGGGGATCTTACATACTATGCACCAGCTCTCGGGGCGTGCGGAATAACCTCCTCATCAACCGAATCCATCTGCGCCGTATCCCACATTATCTATGATGCCGCCTCAACCAGTTCAAACCCCAATGCCAATCCTCTCTGTGGAAGAAAGATCCGAATTATTCGACAAAAAGAATCGGGAAGTGGAAATAATACAGTTGATGTAACGGTTGTCGATAGATGTGTCGGATGCAAAGCCGAGGATCTGGATTTGAGTCTAACGGTTTTCGACAAGTTGGCGCAAGAGGCACAGGGGAGAGTCACTGGAAGTTGGGCTTGGTTACAGTGAACTGCAGTGCAATATGATTCTTAAACGAAAGCATCTGATGCTAAGATATCCCGGACTCTATCTTCTTCTCTTGGGCAGGGCCTGGTATATGATTCATGATGGATTGTGGTTTTAATTTAGCGGAGATACCCTTGGTTTCCATTGTACTCGTAGTTGGATCACGAACTCAGGGTTAAGATATTTCCAACGGGCACATAATGTTTATAGATGTCCGAATTTCATCCAAAATGAGTTTTACATGTTATTATCAATCTTCCCTTCTCACTGTCTCATGGGCCTCACAACATTCCGAGGAATGATCCAACAATCATTATGCTGTTGACAAGCCTGATTAAGTATTTACACACCACCCAAGGCCAAGTTATCGTCACATCACAGATATCTCGGTTAATTTTCACTGTTTGAGCAATAGTTTGCCAACCTCTACTTGCGAATTCAGTCATCCAACTCGTATCTATGTTAAGTCATTCGACTACCTGTCAGCTCTATCAATGACTATTCGCTGCCCCTCTTGTGCAGGCCCATCTTTTAGAACATCTAGTTCTATTAGACTGAAGTTCATGAAGACTCTTCTTCCTACATTTCCTCTTTTTCTTCCCCTATAAGTTTCTGGCAAAATCGCCAACATGACCTTTTTCTTGATATTTCAATTTTATAAGTTAGTCCTCGAACCAGAAACCAGATTTGAATTCAAGTTCAAAAATGAATTCAAATATCACATACTACCATTGCTATGCACCTCACCAACACAGCCTTTCTTTTTTTTATCCTCGTTCAGAGTCGTTCTAACCTTTCTCACTCTCACATCAACCCCGTTTGTATCTGAAGCCTGCGACTTATCTTGCAACGGCAAACTTATAGGTAATAATTAACAATAATAAGAGGTTGCAAAACTTCGTCGTGCGTTGGAGATGAGTTTTGTGAAATTCAGATGTGCGGATGTTGGTACTGCGGTTGTGGTTGTGCCTTGAAGGGATAATGATAGGATAGAGGGGAGATAAGAGGAGTTGGTAGAAGTGATAGAGAAGACGATGAGGGAATGAATCAGCATATGGTTGTTTAGGGTGAGAGGAACGAGGGAGGAAGCTCGCTAGTATGTTTTGTGTTTTTTGAACTTTATCATATTCAAACGACGAAGATGGGGATATAGGCTAATGTAGTGTTAGATGTGCGATATATCATATCGCTTGGTCATCGAGGAAGACAAAGTTATACATAGGAAGAGAAGATATACAAATACATATCATTAATTTTCGGGGACAGAAGTTTAGATGGTTGAAAGTCTAATAATGGGGGACGGGTATTGATGTGCTTGAACCCAAGTTCATTATATACATTCTCCATCCCTGGTCGAACCAAACTATCCTCCCCACATATTGCTCGAGTACATATTACAATAAAACCCTCACCCCTTCGTGAATAAGTTTGAAGCCCAAGAAACCAGAACTGGATACAAATATACTATCACGTGAATCCCATTTCACGTGTCCAAAGTGGATTCCAGCTTTCAGCGCTCAACAGTTGACAATCCTTGCAAGATGAAACCCCGCTGTTGAAACTTTGAAACAGTTTCTACGGGCCGATACGAGCACTAGCAAAGTAACACGACGGCCTCAGATCTTGGTGGCATATAAAAGCTTGGCGACGCTCCTCGATAATATTCACACTTTTGTTCACAGTCAGCTTGAACTTATCTTTTGCTTGGATTTTGGAGTGAATGAATTTCGACTTGTGTGATTGTTTGTGACTGCGTTGGTTTTTTGCATAGTTGCGGATTGATACATTGTATTTATATTTACATTTTGACATTGCTAGTTTACCGGTTTGCGTCTACATACTGTCCTACTCCTTTGTAAAAGTCTTTTACTGACATTACACAGATATTGAATCTTTAAAAAAAAATCTGAGCCCTTTTGGATATATCTCCACATTCTTCACATACAAAAACTTTTTACCTAACAAACCCACCAAACATGGCTTGGATAGCAAGAGGTCAATCCGGTTTCGTCCAAGACACCCCTGATGGGCATACATCCGCAGTCCCCGCCATTGCCACTCACCGCGGGTCCCTCTGGAGTCTTTGGAGCGACCCCTCTGGCGACTTATACTATGCCATCGGCGACAATGACACTTTCCAACCCCGAGTGCGTTTTCCCAACCAAGGAATTCCAGTTATGGCCGAGTTACTCGGTCGTCTACATGCCGTGATCGTCAGAGCAGATGGTGAAATCGCTCATTATGAATATAACGATGTAGATAAAACATGGGGTATGCCTACTATCCTCGATAAACAGTCTGGCTTGTGGACAAATACCACACCGGCGCTGATAAGCCATCATAATAATTTGATGATGGTGTATATCCAGAATACGTATTTATATTACTCGACATGGACATTAGATTCCGAAGACCAGCCGGTATGGAAATATCCTCAGGAAGTGAGTGGAATTAGTAAGGTATCTGGAATACCTGCCATGTTCGTGTTAAAGGGGGATTTGCATGTGCTTTGTGCTTCGTCGGATGAAAATCATTTGATTCTTGGCTTCAGGTATTCGTTGCCGGAGGATGTGTGGAATTCTTGTGATGATGTTAGTGAAGGAAAAGCTGCACAGGGTGTTTCCGCTACGTCGTTTGGTGACAGTGCGTTTTTGGCTTTTCTGGAAGATGGCCCCGGGGATACTTCTCATGTTATTTTTATGAGTGAGTATAAAGATGGGATGTGGCATCCTCAAGAGGCCATTGCTGGTCAGACTTCTTTTGACCCTCCACAATTGGCTGTGCTCAATGGGAGGGTTAATTGTATATTCAATTCCAATGATGAAAGTAGGGAATTATTGTGGTATTCTAGATCGTTGTTGGATTACTCACTCAGTTCTTGGATGGCGGAAATTCCAGACGATACTCTGTTATCAGATATGACCATTCCCGGAACCCACGATAGTAAGATATCCCCCCCCCCTGCATTGTTTAAATCATCCCTAACAAACCCCACCCCAGGCTGTGCCGAATCCAACATTCCCTTCGTGCGCACGCAATACCTCTCCATCGCCGCCCAACTATCCGCCGGTCTCCGCTTCCTCGATCTCCGCGTCCGCGTGCACACAGAAGATGGACAACTCTACATGTACCACGGCGGCATCCCCATCAACATGCCCTTCTATCTCAAATTTGATTTCGTCATGCAAGAAGTATTTGATTTTCTATCCCAACACAGTCAAGAAACCGTGCTGATCTCCATCAACAACGACGATACCTCAGGCAAAGAACCCCCTTTAGTATTTTACTCTGCGGTTGCTAAACACATTACTTCCATCCCTCCATATCCTTCCGGACAACCCCGCTGGCTCACATCCAACGCCCCATCTACCCTTGGTTCTGCGCGCGGCAAAGCAGTACTACTCCGTCGCTACAAATGCGATGAAGATACATCACCTGAGGATAAAATGGGTTTGAATCTTAGTGGATGGTTAGTCAACAAACCCGATTTCACATTAGAAACAGAAAGCGGATGCACAATCCATCTACAAGATAAATGGCAATACTCCGACATCATCCCCCTCAAAGGTTTGATTTCGAGTAAATACGATTTCGTACTTCACATGTTGGGAAAAGCTAGGGATGGAGCCAAGGAAGATTGGTACTTGAATTTTATGAGCGCGGTGGGAGATCCCGTGCAGAGGGGTGAGGTGGCTGAGAGTCATGTATGTTTATGAGCTCACTTTCTATCCCTTCCCTTCTTTCCCTACACCTTCCCTTCCATTCCTCCCCTCACCTCCCTCCCTACCCCAAACCATCCTCACCCCCCTCCTCATCCCCATCCAAACCCCTCTAACAACCTCCCCCCTCCCAAAAACAGTGGATAGCAGTCGGCGCCCACAGTAAGTTCCACCGCACCTACATCCAAGGCATGAACCCAACGCTCCGCGCAAACTTTAATTGGGGGATCCGCAAACGCTATGGGGTACTCGCTATGGATTATCCGGAGTTGCCTAAGGATTCCGACTTGGTCGCGTTGATTATTGGGTGTAACATGTAGGGTTGGGGTTGAGGTTGGGGTTGTATGTAAGGGGGATGGAAAGGGGGGGAAGAGGGGAGGAAGAGGGGGGGAGAAAGAATTGATATAGAAGGATCTATGAGTACAGAGCTCTCAGAGATACGAAAAGATTTATAAAGAAGAATTTTATATATAAAGATGTATACGAGTAAATTTGTATGTCAAAACACACATGTATATACAGACATGCATATCATAAAATTAAACAAGATCAAATAGATCAATCACCACAACCCATATCAATATTCAAAAGCTTGAAGTTCACACAGAAACTCGATCACTAAAACGCAACTATTGCATCCATCCCCCTTATTTTCGCTAAGTAAGATATTTGATTTCATCTCATATCATATCATATCATATCAACTCATCAACTCATCAACTCACCAACTCACCAACTCACCAACTCACCAACTCATCAAAACAAAGCATCAGTATCAAATATCAAATATCAAATCAGTAATCATCAAAATATCATGCATTCCCCAAAGTCAAAAGTCAAAACACCAACCTATCCATCCATCCCCCAAGTAAACCAAGCCATATCTCATGGTATCGATCGCTCTCGCTGGTATAAAAGCAAAAACAATTCCGTCCTGAAATATTCATCCTGCGTGCATAATAAATAGCATAACAAATAGGGTATGTATGCATGGTATACAAAAGAGCGCCATGCCATCACCCCTTCCTATTTCCTATTTCCCATTTGCCAACCCAGCCCAGCCCAGCCCAGCCCAGTCCTGTGTATCCAGTATCCGCAACTTCATATTCTCCATAACCATTTATTCATACGCCGGAAAATTGATCCATACCATAGCACCCATCCATCCATCCATTCAGAACCTTAAAAACGCACCCTCCCCATTCCCCTTCCCCCTACCTATACTCCAACCGAAAACCAAATCAAAAATCAGCGCCTTGAAACACTCGCCGATCTCCCTACACCTACGTGCGCAAGACCAAACCATTTTCTTCCATGGCCTGTATTAGCACTACTGCTATTTTCTTTATCTTTAACTGCGTCGTTTTCCTTATTACCCTCATTACTCGCATCTACATGCATATTCTCGCTTCTTTCCCTCCCCATACCCATCGCTGACCCCTTAACACACTTCCTCTCATCACCAGATCCAGCAATAATGTCTCTCACTACTTCATCCCGATCACGAATACCATCTCCTCCAAATCCCTTCGTCTCCCTCTCTCTTTCCCTCGCACCCACACTCCTCGGTCTTCCCCCATACTCTCGCCGATCTTGCGCCGATTGCGCTCTATTCCTCGCAATAGGCGGCGGTGTCGCGCTTCTTTCTCTATCATCCTCAGCTTCATCTTCTTCATAATACGTCTTCTTACCAACCCCATTTCCACTTTCATCACTGCCATCCAACTGATAATTACTCAAATCCGTTCTTCGATTACTATATCTATTCCTCGTTGGCAAAGATTGATATTTGGCCCTCCGGTCTGTATTTGAATTGGAACTTGAACTCGAAGGCGAGTTCACGATATTAGCCGGCGCAGTTTCCAATCTCCCAAAGAATAATCTCGAAGGAAGTAATCTCCTAAAATCCTTTTCCTTGCCACCTTCTTTTTCCTTGGAAAATTCTCTTGAAGGTGTATTCGGTATACTTGCTGATACAGGCGCGAGTGGGATTTTAATGTTGGAATCATGGCTTGTAGTGATCGCAGCTGGGGCATGTTTTCTCAATTTAGACGTAGCAGCCGCCAATGAAGATCTTCGATCGGGCGCAGAAGGTCTGGGTGTATTTTCATCTAAAGGTGTTGATGATCTCTCAATCTCTCTATTTGTATGTCTTTCTCGATGATCCTCAACTTGTGACTGTGGTCTACGCTCCGAATAACCGGGTGTAATTGTATCGTCACTTCTCGGTTGAGTCTCAGCTTGCGGTGCCGTTCGCAATATCTCATAACGCTGAGCTGTAGTACTCGAAGTTCGAAAATTGGAATTTGTGCCCGAGGGAACACGTGTTGTGGGACAATTGTTGGACACTCCATCGCCGCCCCAGATTCTCGAATCATCGCGCTCGCGGGATGTAGTGTTGAAAGAGAGGAATTCTGGAGTTTGATTTCCGCCTCGGGGTTGGCGAGTGGGAGGATGAATTTTGGTACTTTCGGTGCTGGAAATAGTGAAAGTGTCTAGCTCATCTGTCTCCAATGTATCTGTATCCCAGCCATGGCCTTCTCGTCGACTTGTTACAGTTTCTCCAGCGCTCCGTGGTCGCATGGATATAGTTGATTGGCATGGATTATAGGTAGTAGGAGGTGCAGAGAATGTCGATGTAATATTAAGGAATGTTACTTCATCTTCATTGGCCTGATGTCTTTGATTCAAAGTATCATCTGAATTCTTGTAATTTCTCAAAGTGCCCGTGCTGATGGTATCTGGTGTGGGTGGTAATATCTGCGATGTATCGAATCCATTCGCATCAGCCATGTGTCGACGATCACCCTCTCTGAGACGTTGTCTATCCTGTATGTCATCTCGTTTTTTGGACTGACTTTGGAGTCGCAAATTCGTGCTATTGTTATATTGCTTCTCCAAGTTATTCCTAAGTTTCTCAAGGCGTTGCAATGGCGAAGCAGCAACATAATTCATCGACAGGAATTGACTTCTTCGACCACTATATTGGGATGAAGGTGATGGTATTGGCATAGGCATGGTTGATGCTGGACGTTCGTCGATCCATTTTTCAACTGATGAGCTCGTCCGACGATGTTGTCTTGGCGGCGGGGAGTCGAAATCTTCGTTTGTTGCTGGTGACTTTTCTCCATAAATGCTCAAGAATGAACTCTCACTCAGAACACTCAGTGAAGGACTAGCCATTCCACTTTCACTATCTTCCTCTGGTAATTTTGGAAGAGCAACATCACTGTAACTGCTACTGCTAGGAAGATACAAACTCCTCAAAGCTTCCACGCCTTCGCTTTGCTCGGATAGAAACGAGGGCATTCTAGCAATAACTTTCGACCTTTCCTTTCCTCTAGGAGTACTCATGGTGTCTTTATCAATCGTCGGGGGCGAGCTCGGGATATGGATTCCATGGCCATGATCATAATCGATGTAGTCATTTCCATACTGCGAATCAAAGCTCCTCACATCCTCTCGTTCCTGCAGTAGTCTCTCAACCTTGGCTTCCAGTTCACAAACTAAAGTAACAGCTTCTTCGACTGCCTGATCTCTTTTCTCCAATTCTTTGAGTAAAGCTTCATTAATTTCTTGCATTTCTGCCTGCTCTTGGATCTGGTTGTTCGCAAGCTCCAATTCCAACTCTAAGGTTTCTTGTCTCTGTCGTCGATGGAAAAGCTCTAGTTTAAGATCGAAATTTTGTTTGTGTAATGTCGAAACCGTCTGTGATGAGAAGGGTTAAATTAGTATCTACGTCGCCAAAACATACAACCAAATAGTTCATGATGAAAACCTCACCTCTTCCATTTGCTTAACACCCATCGCCATCTTACCCGGTTGACCCACTCCACTCGAGCTTGGTCTCCTATCATCTCTCTCCCGCGCAACCCCAACCCCACTTCCACTCCCACTCCCACCTTTATAACCTGGCGAACTTTGAATATCCCTCCCCATATTAATACTCGCCCCAAAATCCGCGCTTGATCTCTTGTCTCTCTCCTTCCTCTCCCTCAACCTCTCTTGCAAAAAAGTACCGCGGCCAGATTGCGCACTACTTCTTCCTCCCCCCAAAGGCAAATGCGCACTAGAGCTATTCGTACTCTGCGACGAGATAGTAGGCGTTGCCATGTTGTTCATTCTCGTATTATTGCTTGAAGAATTGGTTGCGGATTCATGATAGAGTGGCATACGTGCTGTGGAAGATATGCGACTTCTTCGAGATCCTTGACTTTCATCTTCCATGTTTTCTTCTTCGGTGAGATTCTATTTTCAGGTGTGATGATGTTTTTGTTTTTTGTTCCGTTTTTCTTTTAAAATAGTGATTGTGATTGTGATTGTGATTGTGATTGTGATATGTAAAGAATGAATGTCTTTGAATGTCTTTGAATGGCTGGGGGGTGGTGTCGTATTCAAGTAAGGAAGGCCGCCGTACTACCACAAAGTTACCAAGTTACAGTATCTGCTGGGTACAGGAAGATCTATGCATATGTATGCAATATTGCTGCAATGCACTGTATCAATGATTGAAGCTGAGAATTTTAATTAAAAGTTCTAAGTTCAAGCCAATTAGAACCGAAGTACAGTAAAAAGAAAGGATAACGGGGTCCTCAAACCAAAAAAATTGTTGGTTTGGTGAATCAGCAAGATACCAATATATTTTACTGAGTTACTTGATGTATGCATACTATTAAAGACATTGCCGATTTTATTTATTTTGGCGTTTAGAACTGAGATTTATCACTCATTCATTGGTGGAATTTACTAGTTACTATTGCGCAAAGATACTGTAAGTTTTCATCCGAAAGTATTTCGATTATATTGGGACGGTATTGTCACTTTTTCTTCATGGTTCTCAAGTGGTGCTACGGACAGAGACGATCAATAGTTACCAAGGTAATGGAGATGGTGTGCATCAACGTCTTTACTACCACGGGATCGTACAAAGATGGGAGTAAAGATAAGAAATTAAAGCATCCATCTCACTCGTAATCATTAATCATTCTGTAATACTTGACCTGAAAAGCCCTTATAATTTCCACGTCGCATTCCTTGACAACTTTGGGACTGCCACGCAAATATCCTTATCCGTCGTCTCCAGCTCTGCCTCTTGACAATCCTCAATTTCTATCCCGTTCGCAAATTGCACCACGACGAAATCAATGGGCTTCTTTCCCACGACCACCATTGGAGCATGCCAGGTCCCAGCTCCATAAGTGACCGCCTGTGAACCATTCGCTAAGAAAGCCTGAAGTCTATTCAGGTCCGGTAAACCGCGACCGGGAAGTTTTCCTTCATCACCATGGGAGAGAACGGGGACGGGTAAGGTTTCATCAATTAATGACGGCGTTGAACTCGGTGCTACGACAACCAAGTAACATACTTCTTCTTGCTCCGAGGGTGATGTCCCGAGAGGTATGAATGTTTGAGTCGTGAAAGGATGTCTTTCCAGTATGGTGACTGGGAATAAACCCCCGATATTATTGCTATCGTGAGACGGGAGAAGCGAGCGAGGTGAGCATACAAACATATTCATGACTGCATTCGCGACCCGTTGACTAGGAGCGCTCCCGTAGAAATCCTTCATATGCGTGACATCTAAATATTTGAGTGCGGTACCTTGGTTGGCTTGTACCGCGTTTGATGGAAGGTCTTTGATTGCTGATGATGGGATTACCGCTGGTGTGGGGTTTTGAATCACTGTTCCAAATATTGCAAAGTCATCTTGAGTGAGTGGCTTTGTATGAAGTATCTTTTCCTTGACGTTTGCATCGATCGTCACAGGCATCTTGGGAACTTTCTTGATGAACTTGCTTTGGATTATTACGTGGTTGTTGTCTCGTCTCTTGTGAAGGTTGAAAGTGGGCGTAATCACGTTGGTCTAGTCACGTGATTTATTCGCTATCTCTTATAACGTCTACCCCTCTTCCCCTCTTCCTTCTCTTCCTCCTCCTTTCTCCATCCTCCATCCTCAACAACCTTCGATATTTGCAACAATAACGATCTTCACTGTGGTGATTATTCATAGATCGAGGCAAGAGTTATGACTTTCACAGCCCATATCAAGATGATATGATCAGATTTTCAGTTTTCACCTTCTATCCGAAAGTCACAATTCTTGCCTCGATCTTCTGGTTTGTCCTTCAACTTCAAACTCAATTCTACACAATACTATTGAGTACCACTTCGGCTGTTTTCTATTGTTCTATTGTCTCTGGTATTCACTCACCTGGCCTCATAGGCAAAATTTTCTTCCCTACTCCTGAAGTCAATTCAATCCTGAGGGGTGCAAAAATTCAGTAGCGAAACTTTCTATTGTCATTTCAGAAAAGTTTCTGCACAATCGAACAATTCCTATTGTCATTGTTTCCGCTATAATCATGGTGGGTACATTCTCGAGCAGGTCAATAGGAACAATGGATACAGTAGAAGGTCTATTGTCTGGGGATAGCCTCAGTACCATAGTGTACATAGCAGAATATAATTCATATCTCCTTCTTGTTGAAATATTCTTCCTGCAACCGTTCTTCGTACACTTTACTTCAAGCGTTCAAAGTACTTCTCGAACACATCTCGAACATACCAATTTTCAAGCTTCCCAGCTCTCAATTACCCAATTACCCAATTTTCACAATGAGGTTTACCAACACTGGTGTTTGGTCCCTCAATGACATGGACGAACTCTCTGCGAAGAGAGCCCTGTCAATCGTGGCGACCAGAATCTATCTCCAGGACAACGGACCAGACTGGTTGGATACAAACCTCAGTCAATTCGGTTGCTCAGGCGATGGCTTGATCAACGACACCTTGATTGACCACGACCTCGCACAACACCCAGTCGCTCAAGTTCTCCACCATCAATTTCGTCTCCACGTCGACAAAGTGGAAGAGGCCGAAGCAGCCGAACTCGGGTTGCATTATTTCGGCCATCCCAGCACCGGAGGCAAGAGTGTGAATCCGTTTGAGAGACCATTGACTTATGGAGCCATCCACCCTGAAATACTTGCAGAACATGCGTTTGCTGCGTCCGCACTTCTTGACCAGGAACCTGTCGAGGAGGGTGTTGGTGAAGAAGATACCGAGTTGGAAGTTTCTGAGCAAGAAGCTTCTGTTGCCGATTATTACTCTGGCGAGGAAGAGTTTGCCGAAGAAGATGCCGAGTTGGAAGTCCCTGAGCAAGAAGCTTCTGTTGCCGATTATTACTCTGGCGAGGAAGAGTTTGCCGAAGAAGATGCCGAGTTGGAAGTTCCTGAGCAAGAAGCTTCTGTTGCCGAATATTACTCTGACGAGGAAGAAGATGCCGAGCAAGTCATCTCCGAGTACGAATCCGAGCCCGAGGACTACACCAGCGGTGTCTCCGATGACGACAACTCCGACGATGATGACTATGTTGAGAAGTCAGCTACCAATTACGACGAACTCACTTTCGAACAACAACTCCGACTTACGATCAAAGCTTCATTGAAAGATCAAACACCACAAAATTACAACGGTGAAGCATCTGGTACTAACGCTGAGCTTACACCACCACCTACTCAACAAAAGGCGCCTATCTCACCAGCTCACTCCTCAGGTGGAAAAAGAATCTTGTCACATTCACCATTGTCATCGCCATCTCCTTCTCCTTGCCCATCGCCAGCTCCTGCCTCCAGAAAGCGAGGACGCTCTACCGATGATTCTGAAGATGATGACAATCAGGTCAAGCCGGCTCCACGCCCAACCAAGAAGCTAAAGAATTCTGCTACTAAATCTTCCTCCTCCGCTTCAGCTTCAACTTCTGCTCCTTCCTCTTCTCCAGCTATCGCCTCTTCTACCCCTGCTTCGTCATCATCTTCTTCAGCCGCTGCTGCATCTACCAATACCGCTGCCTCTGCCCCCTCCTCTACCCGCAAACCCAAAGCCCCTTCCACCCGCAAACCCCGCAAACCCCGCCGCTCCGCCTGGACTCGCGAAGAAACCGACAAACTCCACGACTGCCTTGTCAAACGGCGTGAAGCCGAAGCCGAGACCCCCGGCCTCATCAAACTCTACGATGCACCCCTCTGGAAACACCTCTCGGAACAACTTGCCCACTTGCATAACATTCACCGCGCACCTGGTGGTTGCAAATCTAACTGGAATCGATGGGGTCGCGGGGTCTATGATTATGATGAGCGGTCGTCGTTGAAACGTTCGAATGCCTTGGCTACGAGTGTGCAGGTTGCGAAGAAGGATAGGGGCAAGAAGGTTGCGGCTCGTAAGGATGATGTTGTGGATGATGAGGCTGTTGCTCGTAAGGATGATGTTGTGGATGAAAAGGCTTAGTGGGTGGATGGTCTTGATTGTGGAATTCCTTTGGTTTTTCTTTGGTTGCTTGTTTATTTTCAAAGGTTACTTGGACATATGGTTGCTTGGTGGTTTCTTTGGTTCTATTTTCTTGTTTTCACAATGGTTCTTCGATCATATGGTGGTTTCTTTTGTTTTTCTTTTGTTTCTTTTTCAATGGAATGGAATGGTTCTTGGGTGGTCAATAACTTACTTGGCCGCGATGATGGTTACTTGTCTCTTGACATGGTGGCTGGTCTACTATTTATGGTCTTGACTCGAATTTGATGGTTCTTTAAGATGTAACTAAATAACTTTGCTCTCTCAATTGCTTTCACGAATGCAATTATATACAATTGAATGATACTTTGCACGATATGCTATATCTTCTTGTAATTTTTGTGATTTCTGCACTCATGACATTCTTAGCTGCCTTTGCCTCAATAAACCTCGTACATACTCGCGATAATCTTCATAGAGTATGGGAAAACTTGACTTGGTGAAAATGATGCGGCAAATGACTGACAAAAAATATATCTTGATGGCGAGAGTACCTGGAATGAAACCACAACACCCGACTTGATCAAAAAGGTCTGAAGAATACAAGTGAGAAAGGTGACTTTGAGAAAAGAAATATCGGTAACTGGATGTAAAACTACCCAACATATCCAAAACACTCGCCAATGGTCATCAAAAAAGGCTTCATCTTCATCAAATCTCACTTAATCGGATAACTTAACGTACCTCCCATCTCTCAAACCCTATAAACTACCCATGTTAGCGAAAGATATAGAAAGATATAATTAGTAAAACAACCACACTAGTTAAAAAGCCAGTGAATCACAAAATTCCAACTTGAAGAAAAGATAAGACTCAAAGAGATGTGAAAACCCCCAACATATCCAAGAACATCACCAATGATATTCGAGAAGAGTCTTCATCTTCATCAAACCCCCTTCATATACCCAAAACACATGACTTTATGAAAATAAAATGCTGCATATGAGTGGTGAAATTAACTTTGGGGAATTTTGGGGGGTTGGAATGAAGATGGAGATGAAGACTAAGAGACTGGATTTGAAACTGTAAACATTTGACGGGATCAACGTCTTCCCTCATCTTCATCGAAATGAATGACTTTACTTCCCGACGAGCTCTAAGAAGAGTGTCGAATGGCAGTATTTGATGTGTATCAACTATATCAAGAATAGAAACTGGCGGGTTGTTATTCAATATATCGGAATCGGTGCATGAATTGTGGCAAGGAATTATATGAATACGAAGGATATTGAGCTAGTTATTGCAGTTTGTGAAAACCTTCTGGTATTCTGATTTTGGGTAAGTATATATTTGGGTTATGAATGAGAATATTGGTATATGTATATACTGAATAAGGATGAGAAGTGAGAAACTAAAATTAGTTGTATTAAGGGGTAGTAGTAGTAGTAGTAGTAGTAGTAGTAGTAGTAGTATTATTTTACATCAGGAGAGCAGCTTAGGGCTGCCCTCAGAACCTCTTGTATTAAGGGGTGGACGGCTGGAAGGACTAGAAGAGCTGGTATAGGAAGAAGAACGAAGGGGTTATTGTCTAGTGTTGTTACTTCTTGGTGATTGATTATGGACGAGGGTATTGGGATACAATAAGGCTAGGAAGTTAGAGAGTTCTGTCTAAATTAGCAGGTAGTGATGAGTTGGGAGTGAAGGTACGGGAAAGAGACTAGGCGAGTTTCGCCTGGGGTGAGTTAGATGTATATGGGGAGGCAGTTGAGATGTGGGGATATTGATGTGCGAGCGAGGGGAAAGGAGAGGGTATAACCCCCGTCTTTAATGTAGCTGATCTGTAGACTAGAGAACTCGACAGTAATATTCAGAGTATGCAGATGGGTACAACGTTGAGTATAATGGATGCGAGAGATTTTTCAAACAAAGATTGAGTAATTGATGTCGGCATAGTACGGGGAATTCGAGTGGTTGAGATAAGGTGCGGGTAAGGGCCAGAGGTTTGTGCTGACTTGGAGTTGCGCAATTTAGGTTTGACTTGACATTAACGAGGTAATATTCCGTGATAGTCCATTTGACAATTGTGCTACCCAAGATCAGAGCGTCCATCTTACCGCTCTACCCTCATCCCTAGGTTATAGTTTCCTCAAGCCAGGTGTAACACGATTCCCACCGTAGAGATATTGACCCATACTAAAGGAAAAACCTTCTTCTGGTTTACACGACTAGGACTTTCCCCTCACATGCATCGTCTAATTCTTGAGTGAAGATTCTCTTGTATGATACATATAGGTTTCCATCATACGTATCTTATTTCATCCTTGAAAAAATATACACTGTAATTATAATCTATTCACAAAACTCGGGACTATATTGGAAAATAGTTTAATAATTGATATCATATCTCTTCGGAAATCCTATGAATATAGGGAGATTATGGAAGTCAAATAGATTGATAAAGAATCGAACCTAATGGATATTATGATTAAGGGAAAGCCTTGTTAAGTATTAAGAAAATTAATCGATAATAACAAGGTTAGGATTAAAATAATGGAATAGGTGGAATACAAATAAAAAAGGGGTTTACAGGAATTTGCAGAAGTTTATAGAAGTTGAAAGGAGTTTTCAGAGATTTATAGGAACCTATAGGATGAAGGATTAATATACTCTTTAGGTACAGTTTTACATGATTTTGAAGAGTTGCCAGTGTCGGTATAATCATTTATTTTACCGGAGTACTGGTGCTATATTAGCGAAGGGCTAGGGTAAACTTTAGCGAAAGGATCTTAATACATATATAGTCCCTATTATATAAAATAGGAATCAACAAGCTTTTTATGGATATTAACACTGAACACTCGTTGGGCTTTCTATTATCGTAGATCTGAAAAGTATTCCCATTGATACTAATAAGTATTATTGATAGTAGTAATAGCAATAGTAATAATGGTAGTGGTACTGTTGAATATCATTGAGATAACGAATAGGGAGACCATATACAAGTAAATCATGAAATATACTATAATTCCGCTGTCTTCAACAAATGATACCTAGGACAATTTACGAAGTTATATATATCCTATATTAGGGGGTATACATCTTTTAGATCTGTTCCTGCCCCTGCCCCTTATATCGTTGATGACAATGATAAACGATATCCCAGAATAAGTGCCAAAGTAGCTCAGGGGAGGAAGACAAGGCACAAAAGACTTCAGTACAAGTGCAAGCATTAAAACGACGGAAAATGAAGAAAGGGGACTGTTTGAACGATGATAACCTTGTATCATTTCTATCACAATAATAATAATATATATTCATTACTATATATATCAAAACTCAACAACATCTTCAGCCTTTGTAATCTTTCTTTCTGTTTCTTTGCTGAACTATATTACATATATAACCAATAGAACTTCTGGGATTCTATCTTTGCCGAAAACTTTCGAGTAGTATACATATACTGTCCCAATAACCATTTAGTTAAATGGTTGATCAATTTTACAATATCACAACCTTGTGCAAAATCTATAATGTTATCATATACTTGAGTATTTGAAAGAGATAATAAGAATAATTCAGGATATGTCCATTTCGCCCATGTATTGGTCTGCTAGCCAGCCCCAGAGTAAAAAAATAAATTTAAAAAAAAAGAGTAATATTTGCTAATGTTTGAATCTTAGACTACTACAACATCTACTCTATCTCTCAGGAAATCTGTTACTATTATCACTATTATTACAACTTTTATAACTATCAGCCGAATCGAGATCAATCCCAGTGTTAGGCCTTCAACAAAAATCAATACCACCGTTACCACCACCGCTACTGCCAACACAAACACAAACGACATCAACTACATTTCAAGTACTACAAGTATTACTATATCGATAACTAGCGTTGCTAGAGTACAGGATAGAAAAAGCACTTACTCTGCTTGCACTAAAGTGTGGTATACCTATTGTATATCTCCTTTAGCAAGATTACTCGAATACTCTTGTGATGGAATATATACGAAAATTTGATACACCGAAATTGGCTATACCTATTTCTAACAAGCTTGGCTTTTTTATATATCGCCTAAATAACCTTTTTGTATACTAACAATAGGAAATAACTTTTCAAACAACAGAAACTATGTATATACGCACAAAATAAACAAAACTAGTACTTATCGCTACCACTGCCACCCCCCCAGTAATATACTGTAGTAGTATAATTGATGATCATGAAGATAGTAATTGTAGTATTGAAAGAGATTATAATAATAGGGATAGTGGTGGTGGTGATAATGATAATGATGTCGGCGGCGATAGCAGCGGAAATAGAGGTATATCCAGGATGATAGCTTTGTTAATACAGATTTTTCCAATATTAGCATATTGATTGACAAATCATTCTCATTATCTTTGGTGTTACCTCGAAAATATTGTAAATTGCACAAAATTGACATTTCCAATGCTTTCTCTGGTTAAATCTCTTTATATGAGTATATACCAGAGATTAAACTCTATATGGTCAATTATTATCCTTTGTATATTGATTTGGATTTCAGAGTTTAACAAGGAACTTTAGAGTCTTTCATTCCACATAGCAGTTCTCCAATATCGTATCAGGTACAAATCCAAGAGCTTGCTGCCCAACATCGTGGGAAGTAAAAGTATGGAAATATATACCAAGTGATTATTGAAATGAGTACTTGCCTGATGATTCATGTTTAGACTAATCAAAAAGGTTATTTAACTATACAGGACTCTCAACCTTTGAGAATGGCATAGAGAATAAAGGATTAATAGCAACTAAGGAAAAACCAAGTGATTATTTTGGAAACAGGAAACATTATGAAAGGAAAGGTCCAAAAAAAAAGAAATCACAAGGTTTTGGATTTGCCTTTCATTGGTTAATTTGATCAAGTGGATATCAGTGATTATTTGCGTAGGGTTGCGGGGGTAAGCTCTCGGTGTTTTTGGTAATATGATTTCAAAATGACAATCATCTATAAT